AGCGCGTCTGGCGACGCGTCCTCGGCCAGCTCGCGCCAGCCGCCGCAGCCAGCAGCAAGCCAGAGAGCCTGAACCCGCCAGGCGCCTGCTCGAGCTGGGTCAGCAGCTTCCTGTACGAGAAGTTGCAGACGCCGTTCTCCATACTTGCCCCTCCGTGATGTAGTGCCGCCTTCTGCCACATCTGGTCCTGGACAGACTGCCTGTACTCAAGGAAGAACGGCTCAGGCACGTCGAGGATGGAATGGCCAGTGAGGTCATCGAACTTGAATTGCCACGCCGATTTGCCACTTGGGACTGTCCAGTCTGAAGGCGACTCAGCTGTCCAGCCCGCTTGCAGCAAGTAAGCTATAACAGCTCCTTGAGGACCACGAATCCTGCGGCACCGAGCGACAGGAGTGAGGCTAGCGAACTCGCTGGCGATCTGCTTCCAAGATAAGGCCATACCTGCATGCACTGACGGGCGAGAGGACCACATGGCGAGCCACATACGTAAGGTGTCTATCGGCAGCTTGTACTGTGGATCGCGATCAGGGGCTTCAAGTCCAGCAACGTCGTCACACAACGTCCAGTCAATCTGGGCCCCACTGCGTTGGCTAGCTTGCGCCGCACTTGTTGCAGCTGATCGCCCCACACTCCATGCAACTGATGCCCATACAGGCCTGCAGGCTGAGCCCCCTGGAGCTCCAAGCGTCGAGGAACCCGATACCTGCGAGCGGCACGCGCAAAGCCCACGATCTTCCTGGACATAGCAGAGTGCTTGGCTGCTCGCGCACGGCGAATGGCCCGCCCGTGTCGTCTACCGCCAGAGAGATCGCCGCCGAGATAAGCCGCCTGGATGGCGACCTTAAGGCGATAGCCTTTGGCCGCAAGCCTCCGAACTACAGCTCGAGCATCATCGAGGTGAGTGCAAAGAACGACGGACTTGGGTGACACAGCCAGACCGTGACGTTCAAGTTCAGCACAAGTGTCAGCCAAGCATGAGACCAATCGTGTGCGGACAGCGGCTCTGGATCCATGTGCAGTCTGACTCAAATCATCCACCCAGAGGAGGAGGAGGAGGAGGAGGAGGAGGAGGAGGAGATGGAGGAGGAGGAGGAGGAGGAGGAGGAGGACGGGGAGGATGGAGGCGGCGAGGAGGAGGAGGAGGGAAGAGGAGGAGGAGGGGAGGGGGGAGGAAAAGGAGTAGAAGGAGAAAGAGGCGGAGGCGGAGGCGGAGGACGCGGAGGAGCAGGAGGCGGCGGCAGAGGCGGAGGAGGTGGAGGTGGAGGAGGAGGAAAAGGCGGAGGCGAATGAGGACAAGGAGGAGGAGGAGGAGGAGGAGGAGGAGGAGGAGGAGGAAGAGGAGGAGGAGGAGCGGATGAGCAGGAGGAGGGGAGGGAGGGAGGAGAAGGAGGAGGAGGAGGAAGAGGAGGAGGAAAAGGAGGAGGAGGAGGAGGCGGCGGCGGCGGAGGGGGCCAGTGAGGAGGAGGAGGAAAAGGAGGAGGAGGAGGCGGAGGAAGAGGAGGAGAACAAGGAGGAGGAGGAGGAGGAGGAGGCGGCGGAGGCGAAGGAGGATGAGGAGGACGACGAGGAGGAGGCGGAGGAGGGGGAGGAGGAGGAGTGGGAAGAGGAGGCCGCGGCGGAGGCTCGGCTCGCGCACGAGGACCCCGCGGAAGGCGCGCCAAGGCGGCGGCGGGGGCTCCCGATTCGTCGCGCTCGAGCCGGTCGGCGCGGCTGTCGCCTCGGGGTGGGGGGGGCACGGGCCCGACGCGGCGGCGCAGGAGGTCCCGGCGCTCCGCGCCCGCCAAGTGATTTGGCGGCGCGCAGGATGAGGATGAGGATGAGGATGAGGATGAGGATGAGGATGAGGATGAGGATGAGGATGGGGATGCTCGTTCTCGCTCTCAGGCTCCGCCGCTTCCTCCCTCCTCTTTTCTGCCTAATTCAAGCTTCGCGCGGCCCGCTTAGTTTCGACCGGAAGAGGTGCGCTCTCGACCCGCGGATCAAAAAAATATGAGGATGAGAATGAGGATGAGGATGAGGACGCGGAGGGGGATGAGGAGGAGGAGGAGGAGGAGGAAGAGGAGGAGGAGGAGGAGGAGGAGGAGGAGGAGGAGGAAAAACAGGACGAGACGACGTAGCCGACGCGGACGGTCCAACCAGCACGGGCTCCAGCAGGGTGGCGCTGAGGGTCTATTTCAGGCCTCCTTGGGGGCAGCGCGCCCCGTGACCACTTGCGCCACTGCTGAGCCCGTGGAGCTGAGACAGCCCTAGGATGACGCGATCGCCTCTATGGGGCTGCAGCCGCAGCAGCTCGAGAGGCAGAGAAAAGAGATGCGACCCCACCCCCACCCGCAGTCCATCCTCAGGCCTCGCCCCCCCCACAGGACAGAGAGAAGAGAGGCGCAGCGGGAGCGAGAGAGCCGAGTCGCCGACTTCGCAGCAGACCAGGACGATGCTCTGAACGGGAAAAATTCTCGACCGCAACAAGCGAGGGCTCACAGTGCCAAGACCAATCCCCACCCCACATAATCAAAAACCCCACCACCCCATCCCCGAACCAATAGACAGACGGTAAAAACAAGTAGTTACAATAAAACGACAGTTGTCGCTCCATGGCGAGCCCTGCTGCACCTCTGATGTCACGCGCGCGCGCCAAGGACATCGGCGCGTGCTGTGCGAAGTCCTGCGGTACAGATGATTAGCGAGCACGACGTCGCGCAGGCATTCTGTGCGCGTGAGTTCTGAGCCTTCGCGCTCGTAGTCCGCATCCCATCCCAGGCCGAGCAACGCGAGAGGGGGGCCTGGTAAGTGGCGCCTTCTCCATGGCTGGTGCATGGCGAGGTGATGAAACATGCGCGGGCACCGTAAATCGAGTGCTATTTCGCCGGGCTGCTGGCAGCCCCATATACACGTGGATGGCGGGCTGCCGATGTGCAGCTTATTTGTAGTCGTCCAAGCCCCGCAGGGGGTTTTGAACGTGCTGCACTGCCAGGCGGGCTTGAGAGTAGCGAGGCAGGTCTTGCAGTGTTCCCACCGTCCCGCCACCGACCTACGCCCCCCAGGAACAGTGACCTGCCACGCTAGAAGACGCTTGCAGAGAGTGATAGGGAAGGTATCAGGGAAGGCATACCCTCGAAGGGAACGTGGAAAAATGCGCTGCGGGTGCGGGCGGCGTGGCCCGCTCGTTGCGAGTATGGCGCGCTCACGCGCTGCCCGAAACGCCTGTAGCCATCCTTGGGTGTCATGGGGACCGGGTGGGGGAAGCCTCGCGCGCTCTAAGAAGTGTGCAATCGAGAATGGACGCTTCCAGCCGGGGGCAGAGCATTGCCTGTTAGGAAGCGAACAATCGTGGCATTGTCCTGTGCATATTCTTTCAGACTGCGCAGTGCCCTCTGCCGCGCATAATTCACTGGGCGAGAAGGTGCGTCAGCTGCTGGCCCGCCCTAGCAGTGCGACAGAGGATGGTGATGCAGCAAGCGACGATGGGAGGGCATTCAGATCTGCGAGACTGAGACTGTTCGGCGGGGGCCTCAGCAGCTCGTGAAGCGCCGAGGCGGGAAATTGCTGAGCAAGATACGAGAGAGTAGAGAGCGCGATGGTGGTGTACAGCATGGAAAGCACACTCGGAACAACCCCTGAGAAGGGAGATAGTCCGCGACCACCACTTTTCCGCAGCAGAGGCCCAGATAATCCTTAGCGTGGACGCGGGCCCCATTTCTACTCCTAGGTCTGTGTTGTGGCCCGCAATCTTAAAGTTGCTCCAGCGTGGAATCCGACGGCGGAGTTCATTTCGGATCTTGGCCTAGACTTCGGCCGCGCATTCAGTCTACAGTGGGGCCAGGGCGCATTTTGCCCCCTGGAGCTTGAGAACAGCACAACGTTTTATGTCCAGAAAAACTTGTGAGACTCCCACCAAGTCGCGGAGGCGTGGCATTGCCATCTCGACGTCGTCCGCGCACCCCCCAAGCGCGCCCTTGCGATGCCTCGCCTTCGGGAGCTGGGTGGCTGCGCGCAGGCACCTGAGGGCGGGGCCCATGGCCAGGGCCCAAAGAGACCCAGACAAAGGGGCACCCCTGGAGCACTCCCGAGCAAAGATGGGAAAAGGAAGGCCGAGCGGTTTGGATCCTGGAAACCTCTAGAAAGGAGATACAACGCTTGAATGAAGTTCAATACCCCTGCTGGAAGCCCTACCCGACTCAAGATCGCGAACAGCCACTTGGTGGCCCAGGGACGGGAACGCCGCCTCGACATCGTCGGCGGCAAAGATGGGGAGGTCCGACTCGGCCTCGTGGGTGATGCTGGCCTTGCGTGCCTCCGCGCCCAGGGAGATGATGTTTGACAGGAAGTTACGCACTGGGATAAAACCTTGTTGGGCCTTATGGGTACGATCTTGAGCAACCTGACGGAGCTGAAAGTTAGTGGTTGGTGCCATGAGCTTGGTGTCGGTGTTCCGAAGACTAAAGGGTCTGACCATACCAGGGCTCCTCACGCATCCCTGGGCATCTTCGGGTTCTGATCCTGCAAGGGGGCGAAGGGGCTATCGTTGAGCTCCAGGGCCGCTGCGTGTCCACCGTATAGGTGGGCCATCGGTCGATGTAGGACTGTCAGTTGTTCGGGCCGAGCACCCCAGGCAGAGCATGGGAGCTGATCGGGGCCAGGGGGCAGAACGTCCAGCATGAGGTAGAGATCGGCGAAGCTCGGCTTCCGAGGGCAATCTAAGATGCAGAGGGTCTTGCCGGGGCAACCTTGCCGAGATGCTCCTGAAGGGCCTGATCCTGAATTGTTTTAGCGCCAAATATGGGTTTCCAGTGGGAGGCAAGGGCGGCGGCTATCTCATTGGGGCCTGTGGCAGTGGCTGGTGAATATTGGAGGCTTTCGGGGCGGATCCCCGCGAGGGCGAGGCGACGGGCCCTGGGGGGCCATAGGTTGGACCGCCGCTTGTGCGCGCGGGCTGCTCGTCTCGCGACCTCCGCCGCTGCCCCCTCCCTCTTGGGCGCCCTGCTTTCAGCGAGCCTGGCCTCCATCTGCGCGCACTCGTAGTTGGCGACGCGTATGATGAGAGCGAGCTCGTCTCTCTCGCGGAGCTCCACGACGCCACTCACGATGTCAATGAAGCGCGCGCCATCGACGGTGGCGGCCTTCAACTTCTGGGCCGCGTAGACGTCGTTGCGCCAGATACATCGGGAGATAGCTCGAAGCGCGATGAGCCTGCCTCCCATGGAACGGGCGTCTCTAGCGGAGATCGGTCGTCGTTGTAGTTCATCGCGAACCTGCCGCGCCGCCTCTGTCATGGATTCCGTCATGCATCTCCATTGGTAGACCGCTGGGAATAGATCATGTTGAGCAGCCAACATCCAATAATTGTTCCAAGGGTCTCTCCATAGCGGGGATCTCGGAATACCTGCTCAGGGATGCTAGTTTGTTCGTCTCGTTTAATTCGGTCTCGAAGCAGTAGCACGATCGGCGTGTGGTCGCGGAGCCTGGGGTCGGAGATGGCCGCAGCATCCACGCCCACCTCGGCCAGCAACTCTACATCAAGAAGGTAGCGCGCAGGTATGCCAGAGAAACTTATGTCCACAGTTGCCGCCGTAGCCGCGTCTCTGCAATAGCGAGTGGGGCAGCCGGTTGCGACTTCAGCAGCCATCGAAAAGAGACTCTCCCAGTAGCTTTGCAATGGTTGAGAACCCCGACTGCGCGCACCTGGGGCGGCGCCAGGACGGGGGACCTCATTGGCAAGGTCCACGTAGCTGCGCGTCGGGCAAGAGTTGGCACTGTAGCCCCCCGCCGCAAGAAATGCCCTCCGAGTAGGATCCTGCAGGCTCCACCGCACCAATTCTTGCCATTTCGACTGAGACTTGCCTTGGGAGTTAGCATCGGTATCGAAGTTGTGGGCGCTCAGCAGTTCCATGGTGGAGTTGTCCTTCTCGCTGGAGATGGCGAGCAGCGCCGCCCTTCCAGCGCAGAGAGTCTGGCGTTGAAAGCGAACGTGCGGATTATGGTGCCCCCGAGTATCCAACGGCACCAGGAATGCTGCGCCTCCAGCTTTCTGAGAAAAGTGAGTGTGGCAGATCTTGTAAGGGTGCGCCTATGTGGCGAGCGCAGTGGTCAGCTTGTCCAGCGTACCACGGCAGTCCTGAAGTAAAATTACAGCGAGCCTGCGCTTGAATGGTGAGAACTTGTTGAGTTTGGGTTTCCTGCGGTGCGGCTTATCGCAGAGCAGACTGCGTGCGTTCCATGTAATGATGGCGCCGTTGCGCCGTCCGCACTCCGATGGCCAGGGCGACCACCTCCTGCTAAATAAACCACGTAGACGTGTCCACGCCAGGGAATGCCTGTCCAAATGCAGCCATCAAAGGTTGCTTGTCAATCTGGAAGCGCGCGGGGATGGGCGAATCCCAGCGCAGCTTGGCAAGGGTCCTCAGGGCCTTGAACCTCGACCACAACCAGCGGCACCGCGTCGATGGTGATGATGCCCTTGGTTCTCTGCGCCCCAATGCGGCGGTCCGAGTAGGCGTCCTGGATGACGCGCTGAAGCCGCTTAGTTTGTAGTTTCAATCGCACTTGCTTTGGACTCTTGTCGGCGCTGACGTACGCTGGCGCATTGACCCCGCCCGCGTCGAAACGATTGAATGCGCGGGGGCCAGCGGGCGTCTTGAGTGCACGGGGGAGCGCCATTGCCCTAGACGGAGCCGCGGCTCCGTCTTGAATTTGCACATGAAATCTCCGTTGGGGAACATCGCCGCGAAGTGCGCGCTGATCAGCAGGAACGCCAGAAGCCGCAATCTACTCCGATAGCGCTGTCTTGATGGCTGCTGGCGCCATTGCTCGCGGTGCACCGGTGCTGAACACCGTTGGGTCAGGGGCTCTATCCCATTCGGCGATCCGTTGACCGTCAAAGGGTACTGATGCTTCTGCCACAGCCAATGTCTGCTCCATTGCTTGTAGCTGTCGTCGCATGCGCTGCTGGTCTGCTTCGACCTTGCCTGCTCTGGAATGTAGTTCGTGAGTGCTCTTGTCGTGCAGGTCGAGGTGCGCCGCTTTCTGTTTGCTGGTTGTCAGGAACTCGTGCACCTGTGCGGTGAAGACCTGCTGTTGATGCGCGATGAGAGAATTTGCCGTCGCCGTGAGCTGAGCCGTCGCCTGCGCAATCTGAGCCTGGCCCATTGCCGCCAGCCTTTGTTCCAGCTCTGATACATCAGCACGCTGAGGAGGAGGGGCAGCATCTCCGGGGGTAGGGAGGCCACCAATCGGGGTAGCGCTGCCAGCAGTTGCGGCGCCATCGTCAAGAAACGTAGGAAATAATTCCATCTCTTGAGCAACTTGGAGTTCAGCTCGAGGAGAAAGAAAAACGTGTTCAGATCCTGGTGGTCTGGCAGGTCCCCCACTCGCTCCAGCGGTTCGTTGTGGTGTTGACGCTGTCGCAGCTTCCTGCCATCGGTCTCGTTCAGCGAGCGCGTCCGTGCGTGACGCCGAAGGTCCAGATGAGCGGGGGGCTGCTCGAATTGGTTCTCGCCTGTCATCTCGACGGCCGCGATCGCGCTCTCAATCATCGGGGAGGTGCTGGTCGGGATGTGCCGGTTTCCTATGTTGTCCTGGAGAACGAACGGAAGCGCGACAACCCACTGAATGCGCGAAAGACTCAAGTAGGCGGCGCCGATCGGTCCTCGGCAGATGCCCCACTTGGCTGGAGGGATGTCTAGCACCTCCTGGCACATGGAGCGCAACTCTGGAAAGCCAAAACCTTGCGACGCGGTGCCGGTCGCCGCTCGCCAGACAAGCTGACTCCACAAAATAACAAGGCCGACTGCTGGTCTCCAGCAGAGGTCGCCAAGGATGCACAACGCCAGACTCCTCGAGCGCGCGCTGGATCCTGGGCCCGCGATCTTAAGGAAGAGCGACTGCGACTTGCGAAGCTCTACGTTGTCGATCCCCACAACCTCCGAAGCGTAGAAGTGGGCCTGGCGGAGGTCTGTGTTGCAAGCCTTCTTGGTGTCCCCTTGGGCCTTCTTGATACTGGCGAGCCCCGAGGTCCTTGTTTTAAGCTTGGCATGGCGGGCCCTGAGGGTCGACTTCCCGATGCCTTGCCTGCGAGCGAGACCCGAGCGGAAATCGATGCCGAGATCCGGAGCGACCTGGACCTTCTGCTGTGGGCCCGCGTATTTGCCGAACGCGATCTCTAGGCGCTCCTGTATGTCTCTGGAGGGGGCGAGGGCAACTGACTTCTTGTCGGCGATCTGGCACTGCAGGTCGTGCCTGGTTGTTGCGAATGGCTGAAAGCATCAAGGAGCAGCGTTGTCGCGAGCTGCTTCTTGCACGAGTGAAACGACTGCAGCAAAATATCGTATATGAAGAGGCTGCGCTGAACTCGGGGGTGCGCCGGTACCCACTGCTGCAAGGGCTGTTGGCAGTAGATCTGGACTAGATAGGTGGCGAAACCGCATCCAGCTGGGATGCTTCGAGTAGGGAAGCCGATGTATTGCGCGATGTTGCTGGATGTGGTGTGCATACATGCTTGATACTAAAGCAGTAGAACGGCGAGGACGGTTTCTTGAAGCCACTAGCTTCAGCACGCGCTAACAGAGAGGCTCGGCTGATGTGCTCGTAGTAGTTAGGCATGTCCCGAACAACCGAACCAGTGTGTAGAGGCTCTTGCTGATGGCTGCGCTGTTCTGCTTGGAGGGACTGCTGAAATACTCGCTCAAGGATACTGCGGCCTGCTTGGTGCGCCAGCAAGCTGCAGGGGCTCTCACGCTCCCATTTCCTTGCTTCGCTCTGTCTGACTTTGGCCCGGGTCCGACAGATCCCTGGAGACAAACCGATGCCTCGATAGGCTGGCCCACCTGCGGCCTTCAGTTTCGGGATCAGGTTCGCGAGGATGGCCAAGATCTGGGTAGGCATGGTCCCCATCTGCTCGGCGCACATCAAACAATTGCCAAAGACCTGGAGCTGCTCGTCTGTGAGCAGGCCGAAGTGCTCCGGGCGTACTCCGTCCCAGGTCTGGCAGGTCTGGTGGCTGAAAATCCTGACTGCTTTCCTGAGGGCCTCTGGGGTAATGGGGCTGAGTTTAGCGGCGTCCTCTGGCTGGGGAGGGTACCTGGGGACCTGCTGAGGTCGGTGAGGCGGTCCGACTCGTGGAGGAGGAGGGCTGAGGGCTGTCCCGTCCATCGGCCAGTCTTGGCCTTGACCTTTTGAAGTCTCCAGCAGGTGGTGTTATTGGACCATCTGTGGGCCCATCCCGCCCCTCGGGCCATTTGCTCTTGGACCCATTGCTTCCAGGCAGCTGTGGACTGGAGTCTTTCCTTGGAGCGTTCCTGGTCGTGGAAGTTTCTGACCTCCGCCTGGAATTCACTGAAAATGGTGTGGGCTTGCTGGCTGACTGCGGGAAAGCTTGCGTGCTGGACGTCCAGCACGAGGGCGTCGAGCAACTGGCGGAACCTATGCCGGAGAGATTGGAGTTCCGAAACCGGTTGGAATTCCAGCGGCGCATCCTGCAAGGAGGACTGGACATCTCTCAAACTCGGGGAAAGCTGAATATGGACTGCGCGCAAAACGTCGATCGCCCGATTGGCGAGCCAGCGGAGCGGCCGAGCGTAGGACTGCCAGCTGGCTCTGTGCTTAGCCTCTGCCGCTGCGGCGGGAACCCAGACAGTCCTAGGAGGTTGGCATCGCTTGCCACCCCCCTAGGATGATGATGATGAGGATGAGGATGAGGATGAGGACGAGGATGAGGATGAGGATGAGGATGAGGATGAGGATGAGGATGAGGATGAGGATGAGGATGAGGATGAGGATGAGGATGAGGATGAGGATGAGGATGAGATGATGAGGATGATGATGATGATGATGATGAGGATGATGATGTGATGATGATGATGATGATGATGATGATGATGATGATGATGATGATGATGATGATGATGAGATGATGATGATGACGAGAGGAGGAGGAGGAGGAGGAGGAGAGGAGGAGGAGGAGGAGGAGGAGGAGGGCAGGAAGGAGAGGAGAGGAGGGGGGGAAGGAGGAGGGAGGAGGAGGAGAGGAGGGGCAGGAGGAGGAGGAGGGGGGGGGAAGGAGGAGGAGGAGGAGGAAGGGAGGAAGGGGAGGCGGGAGGAGGAGGCGGAGGAGGAGGAGAAGGAGGAGGAGGAGGAGGAGGAGGAGGAGGAGGAGGAGGCGCGAGGGGGGGGGCTTCTCGGAAGGCGGTGGGGCTTCTGAGAAGGCAGGGGGTAGCGCGAGGGGGTAGCGCGAGGGGGCAGCGCGAGGGGGGGGGCTCCTGAGAAGGCGAGGGTCTTCTTGGAGGCTCTCCCAGCTTCGGAGGGGCCGTCGCAGAAGCCTCCAGACCCTTCTGAGGCCCCTGCCCTCTGAAACGACGGTGGGGGGGGGGCTTCTGAGAAGGCGGGGGCTTCTTAGAGACCCTCCCGGCTGCTATCGGGGATCCTGGCGCGGGTCCAGACCCGGGTCAGTCGGGCCCTGCAGGATCCTGCAGGAGCCTGCAGGAGCCTGCAGAAGCCCGCACGATCCTGCACGCAAGCCCAGGTCAGCGCACCCGTGGCCTTGCAGGTTCCTGCAAGATCCGGCGCTCTGACTGACCCGCGTTTGCGCTGACCCCCGTCTCTGCAGCCCCGATTCTATCAGGGGGCACAGGGACACAAACAAATAAATAGACACAAATCTCAGGATCCCCATCGTGTCAATGTTTTCCGGATTTTCGTCTTCCCCCCCCACTTCCCATATTTCCTTACATTTTCCCTGGGAGTCGACGATGAATCGTGTCTGTGTGTTTTTTCCCTCCTGAGTCTAAGAAGCCTGCTTCTCCCCTCCTCGTCTCCTCCCGCCGGGAAGCACAGCCTGACCGGGACCAGCGTGGCGGCGTGCAGGGCTTCAGCCGACGGCTGACTCAAGGCCACCCCGTTTCTAGCTCCGCAGACTTTCGGAACTCGGGCTGCAGGGGCCCGAGCGCCTGTGCCGAC